AGCAGCTGCCGGTGAGGCGACGACCAACAGCAGCAGCTGCCTTCATGCAAACGCATAGCAGAGAAGGACTGCAGCAAGAAGAGCAGCAGCAGCAGCAGCAGCAACAGCAGCAGCAGCAGCAGCAGCAGGATGGGCAGCAGCAGCAGCTGCTGCTGCCAAGCGACGGAGCAGAGGATTCGAATCGTGCTGTAGAGGGGACAGCAGCAGCAGCAGCAGCAGCAGCAGAAGATGCTGCTGCAGCAGCACCAGCAGCAGGAGGAGATAGAGAAACAGCTGCAGCAGCAGCAGAAGACACAGCGGCAGCAGCAGCAGCAGCAGCAGATGAAGCAACAGCAGCAGCAGCAGATGCCTCTACAGCTGCTGCGAAGAGCCGCTTATCTCGCCGGGGTCGGCGCAGCTCCCAGCAGGAAACAGCAGCAGCAGCAGCAGCAGCAGAAGCAGCAGCAGCAACGGCAGCAGATGCAGCAGCAACAGAAGCAGCAGATGCAGCAGCAACAGAAGCAGCAGCAAAAGAGGAGTCGCCTGAGGGAGAGGCTGTCCTCCCTGATGCTGGCGAAGACAGCAGCAGCAGCAGCAGCAGCAGCAGCAGCAGCAGCGAGAGTGAAGATCTTTCATCTGCTGTGGAGGAGACACAGCAATAGCAGCAGCAGCAACAGCAGCAGCAGCAGCAACAGCAGCAGCAGCAGCAACAGCAGCAGCAGCAGCATGCTGCTGCTGTCTCCATCCGCCCCTTTTGAGTGAGGCTGCTTATAGTCGTTTTAGATTCTCTCTTTGTTTAGTTGCTGCAGCAGCAAGTGCTGCTGCTGCAGCAAATGCTGCTGCTGCAGCAAATGCTGCTGCTGCATCAAATGCTGCTGCAGCAGCAAGTGCTGCTGCTGCAGCAAGTGCTGCTGCTGCATCAATGTCTGCTCATGAAGCTAGTACTCAGCAGTCGCTGCAGCAGCAGCAGTTATTGCAGCAGCAGCAGTTACTGCAGCAGCAGCAGTTGCTGCAGCAGCAGCAGTTACTGCAGCAGCAGCAGTCGATGCAGCAGCAGCAGTTGCTGCAGCAGCAGCAGTCGCTGCAGCAGCAGCAGTTGCTGCAGCAGCAGCAGTCGCTGCAGCAGCAGCAGTCGCTGCAGCAGCAGCAGTTGCTGCAGCATCANAGTTGCTGCAGCAGCAGCAGTCGCTGCAGCAGCAGCAGTCGCTGCAGCAGCAGCAGTTGCTGCAGCATCAGCAATTGCTGCAGCAGCTAGTGTTTGCTGCAGCAGCAGCTAGCGTTGCTGCAGCAGCAGCACTTGCTGCCGCAGCTAGTGTTTGCTGCAGCAGCAGCTAGCGTTGCTGCAGCATTTAGTTTTGCTGCAGCAGCAGCACTTGCTGCTGCAGCACAGCCTGTAGCAGCAGCAGCAGCATTCTGCTGCTGCTGCTGCTGCGGCTTTCTCTTTAGTAGACAAGTTGTTAGTGGTTTGCTTCTTACTGCAGCCGCAGCTGCCTATACACCTGAATAGCTGCAGCACAACTGCAGCAGCTAGAGTCTCGTTGCAGCAGCAGCAGCAGCAGCAGCAGTATCTATAGTTGTAGTTATACCAGCAGCAGCAACAGCAGCAGCAGCAGCAGCAGCAGCAGCAGCAGCAACAGTAGAAATACAATTCAAGCCATAAATGAAGCAGCAAACGTCCTAAAAAACAAAACAGCAGACACTGCAGCAGCAGCAGCAGCAGCAGCACCGATCCCTCATGTGTCGCTGCTGCTGCTGCTGCTGCTGCTGCAGCTGCTGCTGCTGCTGCTGCTGCAGTTTGAGTCGTGTCTCTGGCGGCTACAGGCGGGAGCAGCCACATTGTTCCCCTCATCTATTGTTGCTGCTGCAGCAGCTGCAGCAGCTGCTGCTGCAGCAGCAGGAACTGCTGCTGCACGCTCTGCTGCTGCAGTTGCTGCTGCTGCAGACTCTGGTGCTACACCTGCTTCTGCTGATGCTGCAGGCTCTACCGCATCAGCTGCTGCTGCTGCTTCTGCTGCTGCTGCTGCTGCTGCAGGCCCTGCTGCATCACCTGCTGCTGCAGCAGGCTCTGCTGCTTCAGCTGCTGCTGCTATTGCCGTGTCTGCTGCAGCCGATGCTGCTGCTGCTGCAGGCTCTGCTGCAGTAGCAGGAGCAGCAGCAGCAGCTGCTGCTGCTGCCTCTTCTGATGTTGTTGGATCCGCTGCAGCCACTGAAGGTTTTGCTGCTGCTGCTGCATCGCCTTTTGTTTCTGCTGCTGCAGTTGCTGCTGCAGTTGCTGCTGCAGCTGCTTGAGCAGCAGGAGGTACTGCTGAGGCGGTTGACGATGCTGCATCTGCTGCTGCATCTTCTGCTGCTGCTGCTGCAGCAGCTTGGGGTTCACCTGCGGCAGAAGCAGCAGACATACTGGTTTCTGCTGCTGCTGCTGTTTCTGCTGCTGTTGCTGCTGCTGTCTTTGGCTCAGGCGGTGAGGCGCTTGCTGCTGCAGCATCTGGTGACGATGCAGGAGCGTTTGTTCCTTGCTGCTGCTGCTGCTGCTGCTGCTGTTGTTGCTGCTGTTGCTGTTGCTGCGCTGCACCGGGTGCAGCAGCAGCCCCCTGCTGAGAATCAGCAGCAGCAGCAGCAGCAGCAGCAGCAGCAGCAGCACGCATCTCTGGCACCCGCAGCGCCAGCCTGATAGCGAGGATCGCCCACACCGTCAGCAGCAAAACCCCCAGCAGCAGCTGCCCCCAGAAGCGTCTCTGCTCCTCCTGCTGCNCGCCCACACCGTCAGCAGCAAAACCCCCAGCAGCAGCTGCCCCCAGAAGCGTCTCTGCTCCTCCTGCTGCAGCACAGCAGCAGCAGCAGCAGCAGCAGCAGCAGCAGCAGCAGGAGTAAGAGGAGGGACAGCAGCAGCAGCAGCAGCAGGGATGGCAGCAGCAAGTTCACATAAAATACCGCATGCAGCAGCAAACGCTCCAAGACAAACTTCAACAGAAAAAAAAAAAGCAAAAGAAACTGCGCAGCAGCAGCAGCAGCAGCAGCAACAGCAGCAGCAGCAACAGCAACAGCAGCAGCAACAGCAGCAACAGCAGCAACAGCAACAGGAGCAGCAGAGCCTCACAGCAAGGTATAGAGAGAGAACGACAGCAATAGGGTGTGTATTTGCTTCTTCTTCTTGCTGCATCTGCTGCTGCTGCTGCTGCTGCTGCTGCTGCTGCTGCTCTTCTGTATCCTGCAGCACGAGCTGCAGCAGCTCACTAACAACATCATCATTCCCT